TGGAGGTTGCGATTTTTTGAAATCGTTTCACATTGCGGTTTCTTTTCTAACTAAATTTAGAACAGGATAAAGAGCTACAGAGAAACTGGTTGGGAGAATCTTTTTCTGTTTCACAAACATGAGCTGAAAAAAAGAAAAAGAAAAACAGAATTGGGAAGTTAAGCTCGATAGACGGTATTAGGGTTGAGATGTAGGACAAGCCACGACACATCATATTTTTTAAAAAGTCCATAGGATTTGCCGAACAACTATTGCTCTAGGAAAACACCATTTTTTTCTTTCCCCTAGGGATTTACTGGGTATACGGGCCTCGCTCCGAAAGGCATGAGTCCATTAACATTGTGCAGCAAAAACACGTAAATTTAGATCCAGGAACCCTATCTTCATCATGCTGATCAAAAAAAAGGGTTTCAACAATTTTCTGGACTCAGAGGGAATATGTTCAGGGAAATGATCAACCTCTATCGATAGACTCAGGGAGAGAGATACCAGAAAAATTAAGAATGGGCAAAAAATACAATGAATTATGCCAATCTTCTATGAAAAAGGTACAATGCAACACCGGACAAATACACCTTTAGCCATCAGTGCTCAGACAAGGGTGGTGGAAATCACGCAGTTTTTACTGAAACAGGCGAGGCGATTGGAGGGTATGTAAACCTACTTTCATGAATTCCGCCCCCCGGCTCGAGGTGACAGCCCCCAAAGTAACGCAACTCTGGTGCAAGATGGCACCATCCTCATGGCTTTCAGAGCCGGGATCATACCTGGATATCGGCGGAAGAGAAGTCGGAAATTGGGGGAATAAGGAGGGTCCAGGAGCCAAGCCAAAATTCATGGCTAAGAGATTTTGTTTTTAACAGAAGATTGTGAGTGAGTCACATGTGATGAAAAATTAGGATATGATTAATTTTAAAAGTGATGGTGATTGTAAAGACGGAAGGTAGGAGTGGAAGAAAGAAGAATATGGGATATGTAGTCTTAGATACGAGTGTACTGTATCTCTGTTGCTTGTCTCTTTTATCTACGGAATAAGGAAGGACTTTATATAGACAAATGATCCACCCTCCAGGTACAGTGTTCCAGCCTCCATGAGAAAGAAAAACATGACGGAAATGCCAAATACACTGGGATCCTCCAGGAATCCCTCCGGTAGGTTCCAGCCAACTCCGGAGTTCTAGTACCTAGACTCATACCCGATATCAACCTTCCTTCTCCCTTGCTGTATGCAACCATTTCTTATATCGTATGGTTCCACCGATATAGAGTGTTTTATACAAGGTATACCTATTCCCTTGACTGATTAGAAATCAATGACGAATAGAGAAAAATAAATAGACAAAGGTGCGACAAATAGAAATAGGTAAGAAAAGATATTTATCCATTGACCGCGAGGGGGAGGGAGATGGAATGATCCCCGGTTATTTTCAACATGACTCTCCTTACAACTACAATCTAAAAGAACAAAAAGCCACTCCCAATTTTTTAGTATCGGATCGGAACATAAAAGGACCCAATTATCGGCCATTTATGATTCGCGAAGCTAGTACCATAGACAGCAAGGGACCATTTGTGAAAAAGGTGCAAGGGGATCCAAGAGAGACTGTTGGGAAATTCACACCCCAACTGGGGTATATTTTGGTATAGACTTCAGAAAAAGGGGTGGAGGGGAAGAAAGGACGACGGGAACTGAGAGACCGCAACTGAGAGACCCTATCAGAGGCTAGCAGGAATGAACGAGAACTGAAGGAGAGTAAGCAGATTGGCGGAAGGATAATATCTCTCGGGGATTAATCGGTTGTGCCTGTGCGGGGGTCCGGTTTTTGCTAAACCATTAGGATGGTGCGATTGGTGTCGGGCTGTAGCAGTTTGGCCCATTGGGTTTGAAGTCTTGCCGCTCGAGTAACATCTTCACCACTCTCTCATGCCCGTTCTGCGCCGCTAACAAGATTGATGTGCGGCCGTAATGGTCCTGCCTACCGGGGTTGACGTCTCCGCGGTCTAGTAAAAGCTTCACGAGTGACTCAAATCCATTCCTGGCGGCCCACGATATTGGTGTTTGGCCGCAGTTGTCCGCGGTATCGGGGTTGACATCTTCCCGTTCTATCAATAGCTTCACCACCAACTCATGTCCACCCCTTGCAGCCAACAAAACTGGTGTCTGGCCAGTCTTGTCCGGTTGATTAGGATTGACATCTTCTCTTCCCAGTAGCAATTTCACCACTGCCTCATGTCCACTCTGGGCAGCCAACGAGAGTGGTGTTGAACCTACATTGTCTGGCCGATCTGGTTTGACGTCTTCCCTTTCCAGTAGCAACTGCACCACAACTTTGTGCCCGTTATGCGCGGCAATCGAGATTGGTGTTTGGCCGCGGTTGTCCGGCCTATCGCAATTGACGTCTCCCCGCTGGAGTAACATCTTCACCAATGCCTGGTGCCCATTCATGGCGGCCAACGAGATTGCTGTCCAGCCCCGATCGTCCGGCCTATCAGGGTTGACTTCTGCCTGCCCCAGTAGCATTGACACCACTGCCTCGTGCCCATTCATGGCTGCCATTGATATTGGGGTAAAGCCGAAGTGGTCCGCCCTATCAGCGTTGACATCCCCCCGTCCCAGCAAGAGATTCACGATTCCCAGGAGTCCACTCCCGGCCGCCTGCCAGATTGGTGTTTGACCAAAATTGTCCACCCTATCTGGGTCGATATCTTCTCTTCCTAGTAGCAGCTTCACCACTGCCTCCTGTCCATTATTGACAGCCAACGATATCGGCGTCATCCCGCTATCGTCCTGCCTATTGGGGTCGACGTCTCCCCGCTCCAGTAGCAAGTTCACCACTTCTACGTGCCCATTGTCGGCAGCCCACCAGATTGGTGACCTGTTATAATTGTCTGGTATATCGGGTTCGATCCCTCCGCGCCGTTGGAATTGGCTCACCGCTGCCCCCTGCATGGTCTCAATAGCCGGCACCGTTGGCACCCAACCATCTGCGACCGTAGTTTCTTGAGGGACGTGACAGGGGCTGTTTGTGTCGCCATTGTTGATATTACCGCTCTGAACCTCGTCACTATTACGGGAGCCAGTGCTTCCAGGGCTGTCGTTACGGCGTACCGCGGAATCAGGATTGCGGGGGAAACCGGGGATAGATCCCGGGCCTCCAGCCATATTTTTGCTCTTTTCTTGTCAGAATGCCGTACAAGGTCGGCTGGTGGTTTGGGGGTGGGAACTTGAGTGAGTGACTTGATGGATTTCCTGGTTGCGATCCGCGCCATCTGAGGAGAAATAAATGCATGTGAATCCTCGGTTTTGGCTCTCTCTAGACCCTATATCTCCAATAAATATGAGGGCATTAGCCTAGGTGGGCGCCTTGTCCGACCATGGCGGCTGAAACCAACGCTCCACTCCTAGCAACCATGGTATGATATGATACCGGCGACGGTAACAGCCGCCCCACCTCCCCGGGTCATTGATACCCCAGCTTCGTTTTGCACACCCTCCGGGCCCTGATACCGCAGTCACAGAACCGACTGCTTTGATGGGACCTTTGAATTATCTTAAACTATAAAATCATTGTTAACAATGCCCATCTCAACCAAGCCTAGCAATGGCACGGCCCAGGCCGTAAATTCTTAAGAGTACCCTACGCCTGCCCTAAATGATGGCTGGCCCGGCCCAAATCCAACACAACCCAAGCCAGGCCCAGGCCAACCCGAATGCCCAAGCTATTGGACAGCAGAGTTTAATTCAATTCTATTTACAGAAGTCAATTATTTTAACTTCAATACCGGAGAGACCTTCAAGCTCCACTGATTCTAGGAAAAGCAGGTGATGAGAGTGGTATGAGAGTTGCTGAGCCAGATAAAGGACAACACGAAATATCTAGAAAACAGATTAGAAAGGAACAATTATTCTCAGTAATGAGATTCTTAAAGACTTTCAGAGATTCCCCCTACTCTGGCCATTGATTGCCGGCTTCGGAGAAATTGAAGTTGTTGAATAGTATGTGAACAAAGCGAATGTTGCAAATCACTAATCGCTCACTTCGTACCTGAGGATATGCTTTCCGGGTCCGCAGGAATTACCGGTATGTTATGGATATTGATCGCCCCCTACGACTAAGTAGGATAGTCGCTTTGCCGTACCCCACCCACCATCTAGGATAATCGCATGTTGGTAGACTTTAACAACAATGAATGCAGTAAAACCTACTCCAGTGGATTTCAAACAGAGGCCTCTGGTTCTGCAAGTGCTAGGGTTCACAGCACTGTTTTCTGAAATTGGAAGATATGAGTGATATCACGCGAGTTGATAAACATAATTATGTGACAATTCTTCGGGGCTTTCTTTTGGGGGTTTTCAGGCTTCCCGGGCTTGCCATCTAGACACCTCAACCCGTGCCAAATTCCCGGCCTCCTAGCGAGCCCTCCCAACCCAAAACCGATCTCCACCCGGTGCGACGCAAACTGCCCGGGGCCAATTGCGAGGCTTGATCTTAACCATCCTTTATCATGCCAAGTCAGTCACCGGGTGAGCGCATGGAGAGGAAAGACAATCTCCGCTATGCCTATCAGAGCTTATAAGATGCTGGGTCGTGACCTTAGACCCCCATTGACGGCGCTGAACACACCACCTCTGCTTCCTCTCCCCCACATTGCCGGCACTTTTAGTCCTTTGATTAGCTCGGCAACACCGCTATCCCTTCCCTCAATATCATGATCGAACCAGGGGCCGAAGTATCGAAGCACAACCTTCTGTTGAAAAGACCCCAACACTGCCGATCTAATTCCTTGAAAACTCTTTGCTCAAATGAAGTTACCATACCTTGTATCTTCTAATCTTCTTCCTACCTTATTCATTGACATTGATGAAGCAGACACGGTAGGGCATAGGATCTCGTGTGTACCCTCCCGGGCGAGCTGGACAGCAGTGTTATCCACCTACACTCATATACTGCGGGGGGGCATCCGACCTGGCCAGCCTGACTGGCTAGGCCAGACACCAGTCCCGGGGCGGCCCGGAATGGACATGAGGCAGTGGTGGAGCTGTGGCTGGAATGCGAAGATGTCAAACCCGATAGAGCGGACCAGTATGCACGAACGCCAATCTCACGGGCTACGGAGAACGGACATGAGGAAGTTGTAAAGTTATTGCTGGTACGGTAGTCAGCATACCGGCCTCCCTGAGAATTCTCCTGCCTCCATATGGAGTGGTGATGGTGCCACAAAACCGACGACAAACTCTCAAACACGACCCCCGCCTCCATTTCATCCTCACGAGGGCTAACGCATTTTACGAAAAGCCCTTAAGAATCTAGTTGGATAGTGGCCCGGTTCTCTTCCTCTGTTAATATCTCTTATACTGTGATAAGCAGGGTAGCTTGTTGGCCTCCCGAATTGTTGTCGGAGGCTGATTTTGGCCTAATTACTTTTCTAACTTACTTCATCACATTTTCTGGTTATAATGTATTCTGCTTTCAAGCTGGCATGCTTGTCTTCTAGAATCTGTTTGCTTCATTCTCTCCTCGACTGTTTTAGAATAATAGGCATTAGTTACTGGATTACTTCGAAATAGTGTACCTACAATGACAAAGGACGGCTAGTGCAAGGACTTTTACCATCTTGGTAATATGCCCTGCATTAAATTACAATACTTGCCCCGGTTGCAGCGATCAAGCAGTATCCCAGACCTTTACTGACCTCATGCGACCTATCCTTCCAGATGAGAGCGTGTAGTCGTATCTGAAGAATCCCTCCAAGACTATAGCAATCCTCTCCGTGTTGCGAAAGGAGAGTATCCTTCGTGACTCTGTTGCCTGGTAAATAGGCTGTGAGTACCTTATTAGATGAGGCACAATCCCCTCATCTTTTTTGTTATACCAAAACAGAGATCTCGCGAACTCCAAAAGATAATTTTGGTTTTTTATAACTGTTAAGAAAAGCATGACTAGAATCAGGCCCTCGGCTGGAGTACCGGAATGTGTCCACCGATCCACTTTGAACAGAGGCAAATACCTCCATCTAGAGCTTGGTCCACTAATGGAATTTAAATTCCTGGGCCCTGTTTTGTTGCGGCGATTTGAAAATCACATGTGAAACAATTCCCAATGTTGATTGCAGCAAATGGCACATGATCTTTTTGTTCCTGCTACATGCATATTGTGCAGAACGTGCTTAGAACCTAACATGCACCTATACTAACTTATATTTAGTTAAAAGAGATTGGCGAATGAGAAATAAAATGAAAGAGAAAGGTAGCCCAAGCGGAGATGGACCGAAAATGGAAGATAATCTAAGGTATCATAACCAGAAAACCACGACAAAGGAAGCAGATACACTAGACAACTGGGCCACACTTCTCACTGTAACTGCAATCAGAGATCACAATACACTGCTTCCGCTTCCATTAAACCTAGTTTTTGCAAATTGAGAGAGAGAGACCTGTAGGTAGTATGATACGGCAAATACTGTAGAAACTGGCGTGAGAGTGGCGTAAACAAATCAGGGGCCGGTTTCCAGGACAAATCGGTAGGGAAATATGACACTCGGGAGGCTATCAAGACAAAAGGGGAAGGGGGGAGGGGGGAAGAGGTTGATATGAATGGGGAGGTATCGGACGGCAGGGGTGGCTGACCGTAGCCTAAGAAAGTCGGGTCTGTGGTGACTATGTCGGGGTTCTACCAAGACCACTGGGGAGCTTAGCGCCAGAAAAGAGTGAGAAAGCGATAATCTCATAAGGGTTAATCGGAGGTCCGAGTAGGGCTCTAAACTTGTTGGTTGATCCTCCGGCGCCCCGGCCACTCTTTGGAGATGTGCAGGAGGAAAGATAGTCGGCATCCGGGATCCACGCCCACGGCACCTGTATGGTAGCAGGTTCACTGCCACCTCAAGTCCATTCCCGGAGGCCATCAATACTGGCGCTCGGGTCAACCTATCTCGCGGATCAGGGCTCGCACCTTATCACCCCTCTAGCAGGTTCACTACGGCGTCATTTCCATTCCCGGTAGCTCACGAGATTGCTGATAGGCACCATGTTATTTCCGGCCTATCGGGATCGATACCTCCTCGTACTAGTAACGGGTTCACCACCGAATCGCGTCCATCCCCGGCAGCCAAAGAGATTGGTGACTTATTATTGTTGTCTGGGCTACTAGGCTTGCCCTCTTCCCGTCCAAGTAACAACTTCACGACAGCCTCATGTCCATTCTCAGCAGCCCACAAGAGTGGTGTTCTGCAGTCTTTGTCCGGCCTATGGGGGTTGACCTCTTCTCGCTCCAGTAATAGCTTCAGGACTGCCTCGTGCCGATTCATGGCTACCCACGTGATTGGTGTCCACACGTAGTAGCCAGGACACGCGGGGTCGATGTCTGCTGCCCCGGCACCGCCCCGCGTAATTTCTCGGAAGCCCGTGGGATATGTACCGGGCCATCGGCCAGTCTAACGTCACCCGAAAGCGGCCGCTGCAATCTATGTTGGGATTGTGGTTGCTATTAGGAATGTTAGTACTATTATTACGGTAGCGGGTGTGGTTAGGAGTGCGGTTACCGGATCCGAGGAGTCGGGATTATGGGGGGCGCTGGCAAGGAAACTCGGATGTTGCGAAAGATTTTCTGTTCTTTGTGCGTCAAAATGTAGCAGAGGGCGGAGTGATCAGGGGTGAGGAGTTCGGTCGCAGATTCCCCTAGAGCTGAGGCAAAGCAGGGTTAGGGTCAGTCACCACACCGGATGCCTACTGGATCCAATCACCATTGGCGAGCTTTGTGAAAACCAATCCAATGCCTGTCAACCAGAAGGCACCAGATGGAAACCACCACCACACGCGGCTATCGATACGCAAACTTTGTTATGCCAACCTCCTTCCGACCATGATGCCGTATGATGATAGGACGGGTTGTCCTGATAGGTCCCCTGGGTAACATCAAGCAAAAGAAATCTCCTTAATGCTAACTCAATCAGCCCTCCCAATACCAAGTCGTCCTGCTTTCGACACACAGGCGGGAATATTTTCCAGGATCGCTGTGCTTCAGCGGAGTAGGTAATATCCGCCAATCCCTCTTGACACCCTTGTGCAAACAATCCCCGCCACGCCTCTCCTCCACCGCTCCCCAATATATTTAGCGCTTTTAGACCTTGAATCCCTCCCAGCGACCCTGCTATGCCAATTTTCAGTTGCCAAATCCCATCAGCCCCTGAGGGAGCAGAGCACAGCCCTCGCTTAACGAACCGGTAACGCTAGAGTTACAATTCCCTAAGAGCACCTTGCTTGGGTGAACCCGTTATGCCTTCTGTTTGCCCACTTGTTTTTTTTTTCAGCACACGTATGGTTAGCGATACCCCGGGGGAGGATCTCACTCGTAAAGTACTCTACTTGGCCGGCTTAACATCACTGGCACCTAACCACACTACCGGGACCTTATAATGTGAACTCTAGTGTTTGCCTGCAGATTAAGCCGAGTCGCGAGTGGTATCATACGCAGGAAGGAAGTAATGAAAATAGAGATCGTATATCGTATCTTCTGTGCACTGGAAGCTTTCGTCTTTCTGACCGGCCGAACTCGATTCTGATTTTCCCTCCTATGACTTCTGTTCTTCGCTACCTCATACCATACACTTCTCCGGTAAACCCTCAGCTTTATATACATCCATAAGATAGCTTCTTCCTTCCACACCGCTTCCCTTTGTCATACACATATCCCTTTCGTTTTTATTCTTCCTGATTCCAAAGACTCCCTTCTACCCCGCTTTCCTAACCAATCCCTTTTTCCCATGCCTCCTCGTGGGCACACATTCCTTGTCCCATAATGCCGGTCCAGAATCTCCCCATCAGAAAAAGTATCCTCTAGAACCTTCCATCTTGCTTATTAACTTGCTTCTAAGCGTTACAAATTTTCAACACCTCCGGAAATATCTCCGGACCACTAAATGTGATGCACAGGAGAGAACTAGTACTTGGAGTACCGGTGATTTGCAATAGGAAGTATTAACATGTTGTGTGGATTGGTATTTTTGGAGTGAAACGCCACCATGAGGAGCCACGATCTCATACCTGGCCCAGGGCGCAGCAAGACCTGGGATATGATGCACTTGAATAGAGGGATTGTAAAGTAGTACCCTTT